CTTTGCTTTACAGATTGTAGACCCCATAAGCGTAGTAGGCGCGCACACATCCCTTACGCTCTGGGAAGCCGGTAATCCGAACCTTGGTCACCGCGCCTTTGCTTTACAGATTGTAGACCCCATAAGCGTATCCGCTGTTGGGGAATTAGAATAGGGTTTTGGTGTCCTTTATGGTATACTTATAACACGGAACCCCCAAATGATATAGGGAATTATTGAGGCCCCTCTATTCGCCAGGTATACACTGTGGTCTCTAAATTTACCATGACATACGCCGAAGCCCCACTCTCGCCACATATAATATAATCTGGCCCGGGGTAAATGTTACATGTTCGATTTGTTATGGTTGGCCGAAGGCGTGGAGCGGTTGGAGCAACAGTCGAGATCGCTTAGCCCACGAAAGCCTCACCCCTGACAGCTCGACGCCTCTAAAGCTTCGAACAAAGCTGATGTAAGTGCGGGCAGCTTCTATGAAGGGCCCCATCCAGGAATCCAGCTTAGCACCCCCTTCGCCTTAAAACCCTCAACCTTAAAGCCCTAAACCCTAACAGCTTCTGATTTGCAGGGTCGCTGTGGGCATCCTTGCCCTGCACGATGGCGGCAAGATTGCCTCGGCTCAGTGCCCAGAACCTTGCGAACACCGCACGGGACTGTTCACCAAAACCTGATGCGAGGGTGTATACGTATAGTATGACTGACTATATATATATATATGTATGTATGTATGTATGTATGTATGTATGTATGTATGTATGTATGTTTATGTATATGTATATATAACAAGCATCGATATCGCCTGATGTCGTCGAGCACGAGTGCTAAAAAATAGACTAATCGCATGACGTGGCATGGCCTGGAAAAATAAACAATGACAGATAACTAATAACTGCTTATTCCAGTTATCGTTATTAATCTACAGATGCTCGTAGATAGAAAGCTTTTGATACAGATACAGATATAGATCATAGATATATATATATATAGATATAGATACCGATATAGATATAGATATAGATAGATGGATATAGATAGATAGTTATTGGAACCATAAGAGGAGGCAATGCAGAGAGAGTCGGAGGGGTATTTTCTGGAGTTGGTGTTTGTGTGTGATGTGTCACAGGCTTCTTTCTGGAGCCACCGTTTGCTGCTGGAGACAGATGGACAGACAGTAGATCAGAGGAGAGTCAAGGTAGACAGCAGCATGATCGTGTGCTTCAGTTGGGAAACCGAAGCTTTGAAGCTCACAGAAAGACTAATGCAAGGGGTGAAAAGAACTTGAGTCTTTCATGCGATGGAAGCCGGAGGACTTGGCAACGGCGACTGATGCAAACGGGACGCTGCTGTCGCAGACTTCCTCAGAGGCACTCCTGCGCGTCGCCTGCTGGGCGGACGACCTGCAACCTGGATACACCTCGGGCCGAGATCTTCGATGATGTAGCTCTAGTGTTGCTGCTTCTACAGTTTTCAGCCATGTAGCCCCGCCTACTATACAAGTTATTCTAGGCGACATGCAACAGCGCTAGCTGCTGTTCTTCTGTTGGACATGCCTGCCTCTTGCAGACTTTCGCATGGTAAGCTGCACCGAACAATGTGTTTTCGGGCCCAGTTGAATTTGTGGATGCTGAGGGTGCCCCGATATGGGCGCAAGACCCGTAAAAAGAAGCGCCCGTGGTAGAACCGACAAAAAATTCGAGTCGTTAAGTTTGAGAGACTGCCTCTGCAGGCATCCTCCCTTCGACCGTCCTGAGCTGGTGTCAAAATGCACATGCATCCTTTCACTGGCCTGGGCCCTGGCCTTTGCGAACCTCTTGGACGATGAGGCCGGGCGGTCACCAAAACAGCACGCTGTTTCCGTAATCGGCCGAAGGCTGCCAGAAGCATTGGCATAGAGCCGCACGCCGTTTTCTTGGGAGGTACGATATCGACTGCGACAGGCCAGTCGTGTTCGAGTGCTGGTATACCCATTTGCAGAAAGCATGCGCAGTTTGGACCAGAAATGACAAGATGTGATCGCTTTCGGGCGTGCGGTCTCCATGGTGGGTCTCTTCCTGAAGGCACGAAGACCCTCCAGCTTGCGGTGCAGCCTTGAATCGTCACATCCCCATACAGCCCAGACACCCCAGACTCAAATCCCCACCCAAAGCGCCCTGAACCCCAAGCCTTACAAAATCCGACAAGCCCCCGAAAGCCCCGAGAAGCTTGAGTCGAAGATGTCGCAGGCGTTGCTCTCTCTGTCTGCTGCTTTGGATGCCTGCCCAAGCACCACCGCACTGCCTTCGGAACCGCTGCCGGAGCGAGCGGGCGACCGACAGCCACGGCGCGCCGAAAGCTCAGGGGGGGACTTAGGATTCGGCAGCTGCGGTTCGAAAATATCGCCATGACTATGACGGATTTTCAGTTGCTGTTCCTGGCGTCCCCGTGGATTTCCCGCTTTTTTGATGCTGAGAAGCTTGTGGTGTTGTTTTGTAGGTTACCTGGAAGGTGCACTTTGCACGAGCCGCTGTTGAACCCTGCCCTGACGCCAATGTACAGCCGATAAGCGCCGCCCCGTTCCTAGAGTCCTAGAGAGGGTCTCTTACATGAGCGGTCTATGTCAAACCACAAGCCTACCTGCTTCACATCGAACCCCTTGAGCGCGCAAGGCCTGAACGAAAACTCAACAGAGAACACAGTCCCAAGCCCAGACAGACCGTTGTGCGTGCTTTGCCACTGCACGGGTCATTCCTGTCGACACTGGGCCTGAAATCCAACACACTGACTGAAGAGCGAAATGAGGCGACCGCAACTACACAAGTCTCGTGCTACCAGAGCCTTTCCACAGGCATTGGGCATCAAGGGCATGTGGGTCATCTACAAGCCAGCAGATTGGGAGGCCTTCGTTTGACACGGTGCAGGGCTGCAAGCCACGCTTCTACTAGTACCACATCGTGCGAAACAAGCCAAAGTACTTTTCAAGACTTACAGTCAGCCAGAGCTGCTTCGAATTTCGTGGGTTCTTCGGAGTTGCAATGACAAGGTCTCGAAGATACAAATCCTCAGCAGCGAGCGGCGTGTTCTTTGTTCATGGGATTATGGCTCCCCGAATGGGCGTATAAAGTTGCTTCGGTACGCTGCTTCTCCGTCGTTGCGGCTTTTCGAGACTGATAGGTCTTAATCCCATGAGTCTACTCAGCTTGCTAACTCTGCGTTTCTGGGCCGTGGCATTCAGAACAGAGACATATGGCGGAAACCAAAGACTTCGATCCACGACACGTTGCGCAGAACCTGCACAGTATATGTGTTAGCCAGCTACGATGCCTTTTCAGTTGGGGTGGCCGAACAGACAGATGTTTGAAAAGGAGTTCTCTTTGATCTGCGCAGCTACACTGAGACTCTGTCACAATGGAGTTGTCTTGAAGTCTTGGAGTTATACAGATATACAGCTACACTGGGACTCTCTCCTCGAATATGGAGAATCGTTCGAAGAGGCTGGTTCGAGCTAGCATCCCAATGACTCACCCTCTGCTGCAGCCATTTTGTAATTCCGAGTTACTGAACCTATTCGCGCCAAGATTCGCCTGACCATGGCGCGATTCATCTGGCTGGGAATCTTCCTGGGTTGCGCGTGGGCAGACGACAAAGATGCTCGGTCTTCTGGAGATGAAATGTGTTTTGATTGGGAGTTTCATGCCTCTTGCTGAGTTGCTGGTAGCAACCAAGGATGCATCATGCATGTTGCAACAGCACGGTGCAGCGCAACGAAGCACCAAGCCGGCTTTTTTAGAAGGTCGCTCGTCACTCGCAGAGCTTCCGAGCAGCGCCACCTGCAAGAAGAAGTTCACCGACAACAAGGTTTGCAAGACTACGAGCCAAAAAAAAGTTGCACCTTTGATCAGTTCATTGCCGGCCACGATCACAAGTGCTGGTTCTCGGAAACGCAGTGGAGGAACCCCTGCATAGAAAAGCCCGTCTCAGGGACCTGGACCACCGCCAAGATTGATCTTGGGCCAGATGAGGCTGGAGCTTGCTTCATCGTCCCGCCAGGCGTATGCCCCGTGCAGCTCCTAGGCCACGGACCGTGAACACATTTTCTGCTGTTTTGGAGGATGGGGGAACGCGGGGCTTGTTTTGCTGCATGCTGCACCGGGTATCTTAGGGTTTGTGTCAAGAGCGGGAGCCCCAACAGTGCGGCTGGTCGAGCTTGCTACTCTGGGAAGCAAACATGCGAGACAAACGGCGGTCCATCAAATGGCAAGGTGGGGGGTGCACGCAGTGCTACCCTTTCAAGAGAGTGAGATCTCGCCTTAGTTACGTTCAACATTCAACCCCTAGGCTCCACTTTTGAATGCAAATTTGAGGACGTGCACTTACAAACGAGTGCAGAGGCCTGTACGATTACTAGCACTCCGGCCTTACCATCCTGATATAACTGTATTGACTATGGCAGCAGTAGCCCTATTCTAATCATCTGGGCTACTGCTATTGCAGCGAGTGGTAATATCCTTGGCCAGAACTTGCCACTCCCCCACATGAGAAACACCTCCCAGGTGGACGAGACGGTTTGCACGAAGTGGACGATGCTGAATAAGTTCTGTGTGGTGAGCCTTGCAACCAACGGAAACAACCCAAACGAAATCCAAGATCTGAGCAACTTTGCCGTTCAGTGGGGCTGCTGCGATGGGTGCCTTAGCTTTATAGATTCGTCGGGCACACTGAACCCTAGACTCTCATCGAAGTAGTCCTGCGGGCTCATGTGTATTCCACAACGGAGGAGTGGAGGTGTAGTGGGAGATCCGCACATCCATACCCTGGATGGAAACGAGTTCGACCTCTACGACAAAGGAACTTATTCGGTGTTCCACTACGGCGGTACCGGTGTCTGAGTTTGCCCCAGAAGGCTGTTTGTGTTGCTCATTTCCGGTCGCTGCTGGAGTCCGGCCCAGGATTGCAGGTTCTGCAGAGCTAGATATGCTTGAGGTGCAACAGGCTGCACCGGCCTCAATTCCAAGGTGACATCGATTGGCAACTCTATGCAACGTATGGAGGCCCGTGCTCATAAGACAATTCCGATAAAGTTGCACAGCCCTCCGCAAAGTCTTGACTGGCCGCTCAGCGGAGTCCTGCTCCAAAACCATGCCTCGTTGCAGAAATCCTTGCAGTCCCGCCATGATCCCGGCCTGCAGAGGCCCGCTCTGGACAGTCCAAGGCTTGCTCTTGGTGGATCGATCCAAAGGTCGCTTCCGACAGGTGGAGGGGTCTGGGAGTCTTAGGGTGGGGAGGGTTTGAGAAGCTTTTGGAGTCGGGCTTTGGAGACGTTGCACCGTGCTCGGAGCATGACGCAGGGGGCTCCCTTGAGGCTATGGAGCTGACGTCAGAGGACTGCCAGTGGCGCAGCAAGAGCGGGCATAGGTCGTGGTCAGTCATCGAGCGAAATGCACCTTGACCACGAAGCAGCATGTGGAAGCCGCTTCGGAACCACTACCCGCCAAGCAGCCCCGGAACATTACCTGCCGTAAGTATGCAGCTGCGCCAGCCAAATTGAGGCATCGCTGTCCTTGCTGGAAGGGGGCGAGTACGTGACGGGCTTCGAGTATGTCAACGAAAAGCACGTCAACCTTGGCATGAACACCCCTCACGGCAAGAAAGACGTTCTTGTCCTCAACACAGTGTGCATGAGTCTGGAGTAAAACTTAGAAGCAGTCTTGATTTTTCTGAGTTCGGTTTAACATGAACCAGCGACCTCTGTTACAGCCGGTGACAACGTTTCTGCGAGACGAGTGGCGAGTTGTTTGATCAAGCTTCAGAAAAACCTCCTTCACCTCAGCATGACTACTGCTTTGATCTGAAGTTTTGAATGGCAGGCGAAAGTGGAAGGGTGCTGAGTATCGGCCTTAAAGCCCTGGGGCCCACCTCAGGAGCGGTGCCATCAATTTGCGGGTCTCCCCGCGGAAGGCCTTCGAAGCCAAGTTCCTGACGGGTCAAATCCAAGCCGGCAACTCCAAAAGCCAGGACATTTTCGAACCTTTCAGAGAAGTGTTCAGAAGTCTGTGCTCAGACAGGGGTGTGCTAGGGCCACTTGCAGGAGAGGTTCCCAGTCGAGGAGAGCTGGCAATCGCTAGGTGGGCGCTTTCAAAAAGATGCTGCGTCAAAGAGTGGCCTACGTGCCAGCATCCGATTCTGTCTCCTCCGCGCACCCCCTCTTCACCCACCAAGACCGAGCCTTGCGACAGGTGGGAGCGACAGCGCCGCATCTTTCTTGAAGAAGAACCAAGAGGAGAGTTGACTCATGAGCCCTGCATGGCGCAAGCCTTGGAAATTCAACCCTGAAACCGGCCGCCCGGAAGGAGAAGCACTTGCTTGTGACCTCCTGCACTGGAGACGCTAAGACGAAGGCCGAGGACACCTGCGCGGAATATCTCGGCGAGGAGCCTCCCCCCGAGCCATTTTTCTGCACAGCGCGAGAAGACATAATTTGTTCGCTAGTGTCGAGAACTCTGCATGCAAAGATGACCCGGCTTAACAAGGAAGTGTGCACGTTCTCGTTTGTGCAATTTGAGGACGTCGTTGTCTAGATTCTAGATCCCCATATATACTACGATGCGCTTAGGGCGCTTGGAGTATTTTTCTGCTGATTGAGTGGGGGCCTAAAGCAATCACATGCTGTGCCACATGCAGGTATACCCCTTAGCCGCAATTAGTGCGTTTGCATGAGACCTTAACGCGCCCCTCAACAGCGAATCTTGAGTTCGTGGTCAGAATACTCTGCAGCCCATGTGTGGATAGGAGGCGCGGGAGTCCGGGAGTTTCTTCGACGATTGCGTCTTCGATGTGTGCCGAGGAGGGGAGTCATTCGCAAAAGCAGCGGCAGAGCTGCGTTCACTCATGTAGCTTTAACTTTAACGGTTCAGCCCCCTGGAATCCAGGGAACCTTTTTGTTCCCAGGCTGAAAAGTCAGTCTGGACGATTTATGGCATGCGGCACTCCCGCAACGGGAAGCCCTGTTCGCATGCCCTTGTTTGGACGATGCTATGCTCTACGTTTTAAACGCAGATCTTGCACAAAATTTCCGAAAGCAGGAAGATCCTCAACGCCTTGTCTGGGAATCCTTCATGGCCGGTTGGAATGGGTTTGATTCCACGATTCGAATTCACCAAATCCCGGAAGCCCGAAACCTCGCTCCCGAGGGGCAGCATGTAGAGATGAGTCTTCCAAGCTCTCGATATTGACTTGGCCAACAGGTAGACGGCGTCGCCTCAGATGGGCTGGAACATCTTCCACTCTCGAGCCTCGGATGAGAAACCCTGCATCTTGACTCCTCTCCAAAGTAGCCGAGCACCTTGCAAACATGAATCCAGAAATACACTGCGGGGCATTCACAAACCCACAAGAGTTGCTAGCGAGCACGAAGACCGTCTCATTTGACCTGGCCCCCCAAACCCCAAGCCTTGACCGTAAACCGTGGGAAAACCGTACATTTCTAGAGCCCGGCAGTGAGTCGGCTAATGCAGGTCTTTCCTGCGCAAGGAGCTTGACGTGGCTGGATGTCCGATTGCACCTGGACTGCCAGATAACACAGAAGCCTGGATAATTACTGTAGTTGCTGATTACTTAGAGGGTTCCTGATTGTAAGTATGTCAGCCATGATTTACCCCAAAGCCGTGTTCTTACTGTTAGTAAGGCCCCAGTAGCCAGGCCCCGCAAACATTCCTGAGCTCGTATGCAAAGTAGGCACAATAGGTATACAGGATCTCGCAAGCCAAGGCAGTAAGGCTTGCGATTCGAGCATTAAGCTTGCTCTTGGTCTCCTTGAATGCTGTCTGGGTTTAGAGCTTTGGCACTTGTATCTGCCCAACTGATGGTCATGTTCTTCGGGAGGTATTGGCTAGTCCATGAAATAGCTGCTTGGGGAATCTACGTAAGTTCCGAAGGAAGTGCTTCAATACTTTGACACTCTGCTGGGTCTCGCGAGGACTCAATTTCGGATTCTTCGCCTTGTCCATAAAAAGAACTTATACTCCCTACAGTAGCAAGCTCGGACCCTCAGAAGCCATGCCTGCCTTGTGCGAGTGTGAGTTGAAACCGATACCAAAAAAGCGAAACTCGATCTTCCAGCCAGGCTTCCGATGTCGGGCACGGTTTCGGTTTCTTACATCGCCTGGACGTACCGAGCTCCGGTCTCGTGCTCTGTGGTATCTCATATGCAGGCCAATCCGGATACTACACCTAAAGGCCTAAAGGTGAACTGTGGAGGGTTCGGGGTGTAGGGGTTACTCTAAAGCTTCTGAGAAGGGTTAGTATTCGTGTGTAGCGGATACGTTGAGTAATTTTGTATGACACTGTGACGCTATGAGTTATTCTGAGGGCTACGAGCACTATTCATAGATGCCCTACTGTGTCGAAGATGCGAGTCATGAGACTCCAAAGTGTCAAGATCGTAGATGCAGTAGAAAGCATGAGACGATTTCAGAGACATCTGGTGCTGTGTTCCTGAGAAGTGAGCTTGAGTTGATTCAGGCTGCGTGCCGCCTGCTACAAACGGTTGTGACATCTCTCGTGGGTCCATCTGCCATTGAAGTTTGCAAGATCTCTCCGAAACGTCTTCAGTTCCGTTTCGTTACACAACCTACTTATGATTTGGGCTTGATGGAGGCTACTACTGCCTACGACTGCAGCTGGACACCCAGACCATGCAGCGCCGCTGGTAAAGCAAGGTAAACTAAAGGGGTTTGAATAACCAGGAATACCTTCCCCCCTCGTGTGGTTTGAGAAGGTTGTTCTAAGGCCTCGAGTTTAGGACTATTTATACATGGAATCCACGTGTATTATATTCCCTGCTTACATATGCTAGCAGTATACACCAAAACCCTACTTGTTGCAATTATTTGAGCNNCCCCCCCCCCCCCCCCCCCAATATAAGGCATCTTTGGACCTCCAAATTCGCCGACTCGTGCCTAGAGCAGCGATTAGGATCATGCCTTTGCCCATCCCTGGCCTTGAATGATCTGCAGAGGTCTAGGGACCTTCTGGCCATGCTCTGGTTGGCACCGGTTTGTTCCAGAGTTCCAAAATATTTGTTCATGTCATTGGCAGGAACATGCAGTTTCCAGTCTTGATCCTTCAACTCTAAGCTCCTAAACCCTGACTTGCGCGAGTGTGAGCGTCGAAAGGAGAGTATTTCATCCTTGCCCACGATCTTCCGGATGACCTGTCCATCATCGAGGCCGATTCAGAGCAAGTGTAAGGAGGAGGCTGCAGAGAGGCAAGGCCGTCCCTTGATGGGATAGCCCTTTTTAATCATATCGGTGCTTCGAAGTGAGTTCGTAGTTGAGGGAACCGATGTTCGCTGTGGTGCGGTTTTTGCTTCTGGTGCAGTGCTCGCCTCTTGAGATGTTTAAGCGGGACGGGGGGAAGTGGTCGCCGTCGAGAGGGGATGTGGACGCAGCGCTCCAAACGGCTAAACCCCAAACCCCGTGTGGGCTCCGTCCTACCAGGCAGGCAGCAGGCCAAAGAGGCCTAAACCCCACTACAGGAGTCCATGCGAATGCCTCGAAAGCAGATCTCATGACCTCGCCGGATCTTACAAGCAGTTGATGCGCCCCTGAAGCACCGAAGGCACGAATCGACGTGGCACCCTCACCTTCACAGCGACGGAGTATCAGCGACATCGGTAGGCAGGTCTTCTAGAGCACCAGTTGAGAGTGCGGGGGCTGAGTCTGGGCTGGGTTCCCAGCCATCAACGGCCTTGTTGTGCAACATCGCCACGAGGTTCCTCATGTGTGGTTGCTTCGAGACTTCCAGTCTATTTGAGGTACTCAATTTGTTCCCGCAGCCGCAGGGACCCTCCGACCTCAAACATTCCAAAAAAATCCTTGCGTAGAGAAAACCTCCTGTTGCGCCAGGCCAGCAACCACGCATTTGCGCACACTGGCGCATTTCCGTGATGCCCTCTTCGCCACGGGCGTTCGGATTGCGACAGGCCAGAAAACTGTATGCAGTGACAGTCGAAAATCCTGCTTTAGAACGCAGAGAATCGTGTCTGCGCCGGTTCTGTATGGGGTCATGGGTTTCACAGAGGTTTCGGAGGAATGGCCATGCAAGACATCTTGCAGTAACTCGATTTGGTCAGCGTTGGTTCCCTTCTCCGCCGACAGTGGGAGATCGGCATGACACCTGGCGAAGTCGATATCATCTAAACAGCTCAAAGTCCTCAGATCGATGACCCCGCACTCAGGCCAGGCTTTTGATTGGAGGCATCACTGCTGGGGCCCTGCACTGACATGGACCCAGTCGTCTAGTCAGACTCCAGGTTCGAGCCGGGCATCACAGCACAGGCACCATGTGGCATGAATGCAACACATATGAGACAAAAACGCATCCGGTGCTAAAGACACGGCCTTCCATCACTCACGTCGATGTCTCACGAGGCAGGTCGGAATTCATGCGCCAGTACCGAAGTCTCAGCCCCCCGCCACCTCGCGATTTTGAGAGTTTGTGGTGATGTCGTAAATTTGTAAACGTCTAAAGCTGGGTTCGGTGTACTTGGCCTTCCCTACAAACGCATGCAACGTCTGACCTTCACTTGGCGAGCCGGGAGTGGAAGTATACAAGTGGTCTCATACATTGTTAGGGTTGTGGTTTTCCTTGGGTCGTGGTGTACATCCATATGCCATCTAATGACTGTCAGCATCTCTTTGGATGTTGGATGAGACACGCTCGCTGGACAGGCCGTACGTTTTTCATGTGCCACCTTGCTCTCTGGCGGCTGTGCAGGCAGGAGGCACCAGATTCGAGCGCACTTGCGCGGCTTGGCATCCGTTAGAAAGCTAGGCACCACTTCCTGCTGCTGTGCACTCGTGAAACTTTGCGCATGGTTGCCGGGATACGCCGGGATGCCTTTCGGAGCAGTGCTAGCCAAAGTACCGGTATGATGCAGGCTCCCAGGGTACAGGCAGGATAACGTCATGCGTGAGAGATAGAAGGGACTGGAAGCACGCCGCATACAAACTTCAGGCCTGAGTAGGGAACACCTTCAGACGCCTACACAAAGTGGGTGCCTACTTGCCCCACTATCTGTGGGGATGCGCTGCACAAAGCCCCCTCCGCCCTCCGCCTCAAATTTGGCGAAAGACAGACAGACAGACAGACAGACAGACAGACAGACAGACAGAGAGAGAGAGAGAGAGACTGCTCGGCACGGCGACAGAACTGCTGCGGGAACCGCCGTTGCTACATGCTGCCCAAGACCTACCGCAGGCCCTACCACTAGAAGGCACATAAGCCCCTCAAGCGCACTCTCAAGACCTACGTTTAGGCCAGGCATACCAGACAATGAAGGCTCCTCCGACGACCCACATAGACGACGAGGCTTGTTGGCCATGCAGCATGCACTTATACGGCCGCAAGCAGTGAGCTGACTTTTCCACCACAAGTGCGGGGGAGCTGTCAAGTCCTTGTGTCCTGGAGCTGCAGCTTGAAGTTTGCCAGTCTTTTGATCTTAGGTCGTTCAGGAGGAACCGGGAATACATAAGCTGTGGAGCAGCTCTAGACTCGAACACGCTTTTGCAACCTCGCCCCTTTGTACTGCCTCCTTCCCCAGGGTCAAAAGGATAAATACCTTTTCCGTCACACTCATTACTACTGGTTTTTACTACTGGTTCTTGCCCGATAGCGGAACTTAGCCGACTGGTGGCCTCTCTGACCAAATCGTACAACTGCAATGTGATCTTGTGTCGTCTATTTTTGGTCTCTAATTTCTTCCCTGCTCCCCTTGCCCGCTGTCCGTTTGCCCGAGACCCAAGAGGCCAGAGGCCACATAGCCCGCACTGTCTTCCTGGAGCTGTAAGTACAAATCCCGATTGGTTTGCGCTACATGTTATTGTATCAGCCTACTGCGCGTTGCTGCCATGAACATGAACCTTACTTGCTTTCCTTTCGGTCTGCAGGGGAGGACTTCGGGCCTTCATCTGGACGTGATCGGCGAAATTCTGTTTTCTGTGATAAATATACCCTCCACTTTGCCTGCGCACCAAGCCATCTCCTCAAAGATGTGTATATTTGCGGGTCCCTTCTTTCGATATGTTGATCCATTGCAAAATCAGAAACTGCGCAACGGCAACCAGCCGTGCATCAGAAACCGCGGAACTGCGCATCAGCAACCAGCGTACATCAGAAACCGGAGTTTGGAAACTGGCGCAGGACCTTGGGGGGGGGGGGGCATGCTATAACGTCCATGGGCTAACGCATTCTGAGCGAACAGCATCCAGGGCCCAATGCGTCTGGTTTCTGATTCAGCCGTTCTGGTTTCCGAATCAGTCGTTTCTTCGTTTCCGAATCAGCCGTTTTGGTTTCCGATTCAGCCATTGGGCCATTCGGTTTCTGAGTCAGCCGTCTGGTTTCTGAGTCAAGGCTGGTTTTTGATTCAGTCGTTCTGACCGATTTTTCCGCCGACCCGATATGTTCTCCTTAAAAACCTAGCGTCCATACCTGTTCATCTTGCTCCCGACACCGGGAAACCATATCTTTTTACGGATGGCGCTTGGGGGTCTTTCCCGCTCCGCTGTAAAGCCGACAACGGGGCGCGCCTCTCGGCGCGGCGAGTCTAAGCTGTTCCCTGGACCCCGAAGTGAAGTGAACTGAACTGAAGTGAACTGAACGGAAGGGAAGGGACGCGAAGGAAGCGAAGCGAAGCGAGAGGGAGAGGAAGAGGGAGAGGGAGGATAGGTGGAGCACGCAAGCGTAAGGTTTGCCAACCGCATAAGCGGGATGTTTCCAAGCCACAAGCTTCAAGACGCATCGAGAGTTCCAGCAACCAAGGATTTCGTGGGCACCCGTCTGTCGCTGATGCAAGATATTCCTGCCGAAATGTATGCCTCCTGCTTACCGACCCGGCGACATAGGTGGCGAAGAAGGAAAACTGAATGAGATTGCGCTGAAAGCCAGTGGGGAAGCTAATGTCGAGCGTCACCGCAGCAAACCAGATTTGATTATTTCAGAGTCTTAAAATGCAGACACTGCAAATCATTGCTTGGAATGTATTTTGCAGAACTGTCAGGGAGAGTTGAGCGATAGCGGGGTAATTAGGCAACCCGGAGAGCCTGCAAAGCAAACCTCAAGGGAACCTGCAGTTGCTCCAGCAACCCTCCCTAAGTGAGACCGTGGCGAGCTTGAATTTGCATACCGCAGCGTGAAGGCCAAGAGAAGATACATGAACGCTGTTGCCGAAGTTGGAAACTTCATCAACACCTGGAAACTTGCCAATTCCGTGGCAAGCTTCAGAGCGTGAGAAAGTGATACCCAGCAGCCAACGAGCCCAATGCGTCCAAGCTGTTGAACAAACGTGCCCACAGAGACAACCACTCATTCTTGTCTAGTTGTGTAAGCCTTAGCAAAACAAAGAGCTGCGTGAGCATTAGCCATGGGCCCGCGACAGCCATGGGTTTACAGCACAAAGTACTCGGCAACTTGTCTGAAAAGCTAAGGGCAGTATTCAGCGATGGATTTGGTATGTATTCTGCAAAAGACATTGAGAAGCACGTTACTCTCGGTGCAGCAGGAATTTGATGTCCGAGTGGCTCGGAATTCCTTTCACCGTGGATGATCGCTAAACAGTGAGGAACACTTCGCATTGATTAGCGCTAGCGGCCGCCACAAGCCTAATGTCAATGTAGGGGCCTTAGCACTTGCCTATATTAGTTTGGGGGCTCCTGATTTCAATAATAGTATAATGGGCCCCCCAAACCTTGTTTTGATCATAAGGCCCCTATATTAGTGATCCCAGGTTTATAGGGTTTCATGGTCCAGGCTTTAGGGCCTCTGGGGCATTTAAGGCTTCGGCAATGGGGGGCCTCAAGCGCTAAAGCGACCTCAGGCCCTGCATCCGTTACACTACCTTAACCCACCAGAACCTACTTTCTTGTAGGTTCCCTATAACTCCCCCTTTAGGGTTTATAATAAGAACCTACAAAAAAGTGGGTTTTGGTGGGTTAAGGTAATCAAGACTTCCCACAGGTCACTTCAAAACTCGCAAAACTGAGACTCTGAAGCCACAGGTCCTCTCAGGGTCTTGAAGCCGTCCTTTTGACTTAGGCCTCAACCCTAAACCCTGAAGAACAGCGAAGCTACCTCGCCTGGCTTGTCCGAGTTGTGAGAGCGTAAAGAACAACGAAGCTGCAAAGCCCCTGGCTTTCCTGCAGTCCGACTGCCAACCGAGAGACCTCGTCTGGCCGTGTTCGAGTTGCGAGATCGTAAACCCATAGTAAACTCCCTAAGCCCTAAACGCTAACCTCCATACAACCCTGCAATGCGGGCTCGTCCTTGCTAAGTGGGAGGGAAAAAACCTCCATAAGCCCCAGACCCTAAACCCTTAGCTATCGTCGCCGTACTTGGAACCTCGCCAGGCTTGTCCCAGTTGTGAGTGCTGAAACCCTCAACCCTGAACACAGAGAACCCTGGATCTGCCGGCCAAGGCGTCCTGTGTTTCCTTGCCTGTGCGATCCTATGGTGGCCCGACCTCCAAGCTATATAGGGGCCGTGACAATCAGAATTGGGCTCTGGTGCGAATTATCGGAACAGTCTTCCTGTTCCTGTGCACACTCCAGTATCCTATTTGCCATAGGCCCCAATGGTATAATATAAGGGCCTTTATAATCAGGACAGGGTTACATAGGGTGCACACCAAGGTATAACAAGAAGGAAGAACCCTAAGAGCAGGAGTAGCGGTAGTTATTCCGGCCCCCATGTTAGCCGCTGCGCTGTTGCTTGCTGCTGAGACCGGGACTTCTCAACATCCGGGTCCTTAGTTGGTAGAGTGCACTCGCCAACAAGCAAGAGGGGTGTTTCCGGTCTCCTGCCGTCGGTCTTTTCACCAATGAGAGCATGGGTGGGAGCCAGCAAATCCAAACACTGCAGCCAACAAGTCATCACCTTTTCACGCACTCAGGAGCTAAGCGTGCCCCACCACCGTGCAAATTTCTCCGCACCCTTACCCACTACTGTACTGGAGCGTCCCTGAAACACTTAAAACCACCTCAAAGGCAGGCAACCTACGTTTTCGCACATTGGCGCACGGGGCCAGTGGCGCAATGCTTGCGCAAGGATGGTCAGCTGGGTCGTGGCCACCGAATGGCCCCCCCCAATAATGCCCTCGAGGGATCTGAAGAGGGTTGCATGTAAGTCTTGGAGGACTTGTTGGGGCTCATTGACAGAGATCGACACTGAGAGGCTGGTAGTTTCACGAAAAAATACTGAAGGCCAGCCCAAAGGTTCAGGGCAGTACGCCAGTAACTGTAGCACACCTGTACTTCGAAAGGCTCATCAAATCGACAATCCAAGTTGTGAAACCTCCTTGACACTGAAGCCGGCTTCAAACTGCTACCT